CAGTAAACGAAGATCCATGTAACTGGGACGTTCAATTTGAAAACATGCTCAGCAAAGCAACTTCTAGACTGTACATCCTCAGAGTCTGCAAATACTACGGCTTTTCATTACAAGAACGCACACTGCTGTTTGACAGTCTAATTATGTCACTTTTTACTTACGCAATTGAGGTGTGGGCTTCTGCCTACTACAGTAAATATCTCTCTCATATTGATAAGTTTTGTAAGCGAGCTTTACGTTATGGTTACACCAGCAAATACACTCCCATAATAGATGTAATTAAAATGAAAGACAGGGTTCTTTGGGACGAGATAACCTCTGACAGCGCAAATCCATTACATGAACTTTTACCAGCTCAGAGAGCTAGGAGCCTCAGGAAAAGAGGACATAAATACATCATGTCTCTAGTTAGAACCGAACGTTTTAAACGTTGCTTTTTTAATAGATGTGTTTTCCCATTTGTGTAGCCACTTAGTCTTGTATATACATAATGAATTGATATATGTAGGAAATTGTAAGTCCAGACGTTTCGTCTCTGGACGTGTTTCTTTTATTTTTTCCAAGTCAATAAAGATCTTATCTATCAATACACCCAAGCCCTTAAAACATTTTCTTCTAAGAATCAACAAGTAAGGGAAAAGAGTTTGCTGAAGGTATGACAGATCCCTGACAATGACAATGGCTAAGTTGTCTTGCCACATCTGATCAATGTTGTTGAGACTGCAATTATTTTGGTTTCACGATAGAAATCACTAACTGGGCAATCTGTGTGTGGTTGTTATATCATTACGGAATCGCGCTCATTGAAAAGCGTCGCCCGTGAAAAGTGAGGTATCCATGATGCTTTGCAGGCGGAATGAGGTTGCAAAAGCTCACCGCCGGCTTCGGTCTCTTATTGACGAATTCCCAACGGGAGTTCTAAAATTTCGCGAGGAATTAGACAGACAGACAGACAGACAGACATCTATATTTATACAGGATAGCCCCTTCAGTGTAGTAAACACTGGTATCAACGGGGGTCCTGTTACCCACCCATCCCACCCCAGGGGAGGACATCCATCACACAGTAATCTCGTGCGTGGGAAATTAACGTCTNTAGTCGGTTGCTCAAAACCTAGCATAGATGCATACGATATACAATGTGCAGTTACAAAATACAACCGATGCAGAAAGACAATCATCTATCTCATTTTGCACTTTGTTATTGTATCTAAATGTCGCTTAAGTGTCTTAATTCTAAATTATCGCTCA